AGAGGGGATTTTGCACCAAAAAAAAAATTTAAAAAGTCTGTGCACAATATTTTAAAATTCTGCAAATTTTATTTGTCAATAAATAAATGTGGAGGCTCCAACATGGCAGTGGGGAGCACAGGCCACTGGTTGCATGGAGGTGGGAGATCACCCTGCAGCCTCCCTCCACCCCACCCTGGGACAGGGACTCGGCAGGGAGGCTGCACCCGACCCTGACACAGTGCAAGGGCCAGGCCTGCCCCAGAAACACCCTGGGGCCCTGCCCTCCTGTGCCAGGCACACCAGGTGTGGGTGAGCAGGCTCAGCCTGGCAGCAGGATCCAAGTGCAGAGGGACTTAGTGTGGGGGGATCTGAATGCACAGAAGCTCATTGGGGGGTTCCAGGTGCAGGGGCAATGGGACTCTGCAGGGGATCCAGGTGAAGGTGTTTGGGTCTCAGTGGGGGGGGGGTCTAGATGCAGGGGAAGTGGGGTTCATTTGGGTGGGGGTCCAGGTGCAGGTTGTTGGGACTCAGTGGGGAGGATGTCTGGGGGGGTTCATCGGGGTGGTACAGATGCAGGGAAGGTGGGGCTTGTCAGTGTGAGGGTTCGATGGGCCTGCTTAACAGGGGAGCCCCGGCTGCTGCCAAGGGGATGCCATATGCTGGGCTCCAGCTTCCTCCCTGCCCCTGCTTCCCCCATCCTCTTCTCTTCCCCATCCCATGCCCCTTCCCCACCGCTCCATCTCCTCCCTACCCCACCCCCTTCCTTCCCCACTGCCTCTTTTCCCCAGCCTGGCACTCACTGTTGTACATAGGCACTCACTGTTGTACAGAAAACAGGATGGCTCCCAGCACACAGAAGGGGAGCTCAACCAGCACTAGGACTCAGAAAGTGGCATCTTCTGAGCAGCACCCTCTTTTTTCAGCCGGGCAGCTCTGTGCTTGCAGAAAGGGGGGGAGGCAGTGGCATGTGACTCTGTGTGCCCCCATGCCTCACCTCTGTTTTGGGGGCACTGCCCCCCAAACTAAGCCCATGGGCTTTCTCAGCTGCCACCCCACTCCCTTTGCTTCTCGGTCACTTTTGAAAGGGAAGCAAAGACATCTGCAGGGAATCTGTTTTCATTCCCAGGGCCGGCTCTAGGCACCAGCCCACCAAGCATGTGCTTGGGGCGGCGCCTGGAGGGGGATGGCACGGCGGGCCCCCAGCTGGGCTCGCTGCCCTCCCCCCGGTGCTCCGGCCAGTCGGGGAGAGTGTCCCCAGCCGGGCTTGCCGCCCTCCCCCCAGTGCTTCGGCCGGTCGGGGAGAGCGGGGCCCCGGCCGGGCTCGCCGCCCTCCCCCCAGCGCTCTGGCCGGTCGGGGATTGCAGGCCTGCAGCCGGGCTCGGCACCCTCCCCTGCCGCGCTGGGGGGGCGGGTGGCTTTTTTGCCTAGGGCAGCAAAAATGCCAGAGTTGGCCCTGTTCATTCCCCCAGGAGTACCCCTCACAGAACCCCCACTGCCCAGTGCCCCCCCACAGACCCTCCAGAGACCCACTCCCCCACACCCTTCCTGCCCCCCAGCCACTGGCCTGCTAGAAGTGACTATGTCCATGCGTGGGCTGAGCCTGCAGCACTGCTGGGGCTGGTCAGGGATCCCTCTGGCCCCTCGGAAGCGGCACAACCAGCCAGGACAGAGCGGGAGCATGGCCTGCCCCGGCCAGGCTCCCTCAGGACCCACATACCTGGAAGGGCCCAGCCCACCACTCATGCCCCAGGGGTTAGGCGGGAGAGGGGGAAGTGAAGAGGAGTGAGCGGTGGGTGGGGCCTTGTCCGGGCAGAACCAAGGTAGAGCGGGTTGGAGAGGTGGGGCCACAGTCTGGACACCGTGGCCCCTTCTGAGTGTGGGACCCCAGTGCTGAACCCCAAAGCCTGAGCCCTACTGCCCCCTGGGAATGTGGGGAACTCATTGGATGCCTGCTCCTCCAGCGTTGTGCCCCAGCTGTTTCCAAAGGAGGACAGGGCCCAACCCCTGCTGGCGGCCACAGCAACCAACACCAAGGCAGGGCATCCAGGAGCAACAGGGAGGAGGAGGGGCCGCTACTTTGCCCCCCACTTCCCCAGCCCAGGAGGCTGTCGCCACAAGAAAAGGTGAGAGAAACAAGGAAGAGAACCTGAAATATAGAAATGCTTCAGGGATCACAGTAGTCTCAAGGTGTTCACCATGACTTTATACAAAAAGTCAAACTAATACATAATAGCGAGTGAGGTTTGTATAAACATGAGAATAAAGTACTGAAGTTGGTTCATACTTGAAGTCAACACTTTGGGAGTGTATGCTTTGAAAAGAAGTTCTGGAGTTTTCCTACATACAGTCCAAGGGACTGTAAACCCGTGAAACTTGTGACAGCAAAATAGGCTACATCAGAAATCAATGTGGAATTAACAGGTCAAATCATTAACGACCAGTGGGATTGCTTATTTCCCTTTCTGTAGGTTAATGCGATTTGCCTACTTCTTACATTCTCTCATAATCAATTAGGGTCTCCAAAGAATTGTGGTCTGAACAGGTTGTTGCTGGTGTAAGAACCAGCTGCTGCTTTTCAATATCAGGCATCTTGAAAGTGACACTATCATGCTTGTTCAACAGGCTGAGAACTGGTGCATGTTCATAGGTGCCCCACATTAAAGTTCTTCTAATGTCTGAGATATATTTCTAACACGTTAATCAGGCTGAACATTTAAAAACAAAGCAGGAACAGATGACTGCAAGTCACAAGAAACTAAGCAGCGAATGGGAGTTTTCTGGTATAATACACAGACGCCTGTTTATTTCCCATAGGACATGTACACTCACGGACATGTTTATCTCTTGTGTTACACAGGTGTCTGTTTTCTTCTATTCTACAGTAGCCTGTCACTTTAGATGTGGCAGGGCTTCTGTTTACACTCTGCAGCTGCAAGGGATACTGCAAGCGGAGTGGGAGGCCTTAGGAAAGCAATATTTTCACTCCCAGAGGGGAGCAGCTGTAGTAAGACAAACTCCTCTTCACTGTCTGTTGGGAGCATCTGAAGCAAGAGCAGGAGCCAGGAATTCTTCCTTATACTTCTCCTTACAGGGTATTGGCAAATGTGCAGAGGGGGAGGGGATAATACCCTTGGAATGCAACAATTAATACTTGTGCAATCATTACTGCATTTCCAGGGGATTAGCACATAGAGGCAATTATAGCAGAGTGAAGTTTCACTATAAGTTCCAATGCACTAAAATGCAATGGAGCAATATAGGGCTGACTGCCTCTGGACTGGGGGTTCTCAGGACAACATTTTTGGTGGCCTCGGAGTGTGGCCACCAACTCTTACTGGTGGCCGCTCTCACACTTTTTCCTAAAACACCGGTAATTAGCTTTAGGAAAAACAAATAAATATGCACATACACATGTCCAAATCATTGTAATTTATTTATTGCTAGCTAGTAAGTCTACTGTAAAAAATGATATTAACGAACATACAAGTATCACTTTTCACAGCAGACTTACTCAGCCCTGTCAAGCCTTGGGACAAATTAAGCCCTGGATGGGGGGCCAGGGGAAGCATGGGGGGACTAGAGCCTGAATCCCTGTTGCCAGAACCTGGGGCCTGTTGCAGTGCAGCCAAAGACCGGGACTGGAGTCCGAAGCCCCGCGGCCAGAGCCTGCCACCCCGCTACCCCAAGGCTGAACCCCAAAGCCTGAGCCCCACCACCCCTGGGAAGGTGGGGAACTCACTGGGTGCCTGGTCCTCCAGCATTGTGCCCCAGGTGTCTCAAAGGAGGGCAGGGCCCAAACCCTGCTGGCGGCCCCAGCAACCAACACCAAGGCAGAGCATCCAGGAGCAACAGGGAGGAGAAGGGGCCGCTACTTTGCCTCTCAGTTCCCCAGCCCAGGAGGCTGTCACCACAAGAAAAGTCCCTGGTGGCCGCATTTGAGAAACGCTGCTCTAGACTACATTTTGTCAATATAAGTCAGTAGCTTGCTTACCATAAACAGTGATATGCACACATCTCTTTTCTTTGCAGTGTCTTGTGCATGAATGGCAGGTCCAGCTGTGGGCTGCAGCCTGCTCACCATAGAGAACTACTACCGTCTATTTGGTATCTATTATCTTTGTGTGAGCATCTCCAAAAATGATTGTGTTGAATTAGTTTCTGGGGACTACAACACTACCATTTATTGCTGAAAATAGGCCAGGCTCTACAGACATTGTCTCCAACGTCTTCCAGATCCTCCAATAGGTGACAGAGGTATTAAGTTTGTCTGCAAGTACTAACTGTAGCAGGTAGGATCAGGAGAATCAGATATGCTGATAACAGATCTGTCCTTAATCCCAGGAGTCTGTAGTGATGATTACAGGTAGGGTCTCTGTGGTAGCAGTGCATGAGCCAGAGGGCAGTGTGTCATTATTTTTATCCCCAGCTTGACTGTGGTGCAGGTTCATTTTTAGTTTTCATTTATTTCCTGTTTAAACTCTAAACCCTGCTGGTTCTTTATACCTCAGGCAAGCACACCCAGCAAGAATGAAAACAGGCTGCCTTTGGCGATGGATTAGCCCCCTGTATCAGAGAAGCTTGTGCTAGGCCTGCCTATGGCCAGATAGAGACAGAGAGAGATTGGCATATTGACACAGCATCTGGTCAATGTATGCTTTGTGTACTCTAGGAAATTTACCAATCATAGGCAACAGGTGTCAGAAACAGGTGCAGCTTAACAATGCTGAGCACAGTTGAAATGGAAGTGTACAGTATACCAAACTGTTCAGTACATTTCCAGAAACCATGGTTAAACCCATCTCCCTCTGCTAGTAATGGGTAATTTCCCCAATAGACATGGTGCTAGACCAGAGGTTCCCAAACTTTAACAACCTGTGAACCCCTTTCACTAAAATGTCAAGTCTCGCGAACCCCCTCCTAAAAATGAATATTTCCAGGGATTTTCTCCTTTACCTGAGTATAAATGCCTATTTAATTTTAAAAACAGCAAAAAATATTCACCTCCCTTTCCATTTCTTATAAGGAGTCTTGAAGTTTAAATCTCCTCAGTGTGATAGATATGCTTGCTTTGATCTGCTTAGCTCTTGGAAGTCCAAGGGCTCCGGGCTTCTGGCCCCGTAATGCCCAGGGTCCCTAGGGACAGCTCTGTCCACCATTAGGAATTTTTTTCCCGAGAACCCACTGGGTTCACGAACCCCAGTTTGGGAACCACTGTGCTAGACATATACTCAAGATAGCTAAAAGCTTCTCTTAACCCTTCAGAGAAGGTCTGCTGTCTCCACTGTGGACTTGACTCACTATAAAGTTGCAAGATTTGACAACATTGCATTGATGAGGGTTTTGTCCAGTTTTGTTATAAATATTCCAAGCAATGGAGTTCCCCACCACTTCCCGGTGGAGACTGTGCCATAACTTAACAGATCTCCCTGTATGAAGTTTTTTTTGGTATTCAAACTAAATTTCCCCTTTCTTAATTTCATCTCATAATTCTTAGTTACCTCCTTTGTACCAGCCTAAATAATTCTGCTCCTTTTATTGGCCTGTTGCTGCTCAAGTCAATGGTAAAACTCAATCTCATTGGGTAATATTCAGGGAGATGTGTGCTCTGACCACCCCCTTGCTCCCACTGCTGTTCCTTCTGTCCCTTTAAAAATTCTGGGGCCTCATACCCCAGAGAGCTCTGCCTGCCTCGGCAAGCTAATTTCTCCATCTACATACTAGGCATAATAATGCGTAGCTGCTACATCAGGCATGCTTGTGAGGCTAATTTAATTCTTTGAGCTCCTCAAGGAAAAACACTGTGGAATGGCTCAGTATTATTAACACTGTGAGCTGACAACAGCTGGCCAACTGACTAAGAAAAGAGCCCTGGAAAATGAAATCTGCCAAGTTACTGTTTACTTGAAATAACTCTTCTGTTACTGCCTATATAGTTTGCTAAATTGGAACTGGGCTACTAAAAGGTGCCTTGGTAGTCTCCCATTTGAGTCATTTATTTTGAATTGTATATTAAGTGCTGGTTGAAGGTGTTAGATTGAAAGCCCCAAGGAGTCCTATTAATTCCCAGAGCGTAACAGTTCAGGTAGAAGCAGGGCAAACATCCCCCCACTGCACCCTGCTAGTGTGTCTCTATATCGTCATGGAGGGACCACTTCTAGGGATGAGAGGGTTGTTCAGTCTCCTGGCCCACTCAGGCCTTTAGTGAGAGGAGATGTGGAGTATGTAGCTCGGACACTGCAATGCCATTGTTTTAAAGGTACTACACCTTTAAATTTTCTAAGAACTCTCCCTCTGTGCAGAGGTCAGCAGCCATTGTGGCAGCCTGTCCAGAGGGCACAGACAGAGTCTCTGCGGGAGAGTGCACACTGTGCGTCTCCTCCCCTACAGGCTGCAGCAACTCTGAGAACAAAATGGCAGCTGAACTCTGAGGCGAGAGAGGCAGTTCTTAGCTATGTAAAGGAAGGGGCGGTACCTTTAAAACAAAAAGCATTGCAGTTTCCCAGCTACCTACACCCAACAGGGGCCTGTTAGTTCCAAATTTGATGGTGCTTTCCTGTCATGTGGACACTTGTCTATTAGGAACAAAATTGAGACCAACTCCTTTCACACAGGCCACCGAGTAGCCAAAAGAGGATAAAAACTTGTGGTCCCTAGTGGCCAGTTCTGGATTTAAATCAGTGACCCAAGATGAAGAGCTCCGCCAATCACCGGAGCCATGTAGTTGTCCGAGGATGACTGTGTTATGCCCCGAGTTGTATTTTCACCTCGGTTTCTGATTTACTGTACATTGGACATACAGTTATATTCCATCTCTTTTGAACTGTGAATGAATATTGTACCATGCGTACTTTATAGGCTTCTTGTAGAAGTTCAGTTGCTGCTGATTTAGAATTTCTGAGGCTCCATCAGAAAAACTAAAAAAAGAAGAGGAAAAAAGAAAACCCCAAACATCAATACCAAGAATATGAAACCAAACCTCTAAAGCTTCCTGGTTGTGAAGCAAAAGAAGGCGCGTGTGTTTCAGCCACGCTGCCGGCAGGTGGACTCTGAAAGATCTTATAGACCTCGCACTTCCTGTGGAGGCAGCCAGAAGAACAAAGCCAGTGGAGGTGCCTTTTCTCCTCACCATCCCACTATCTGTTAACTCGCGGCCTCCAGCCCCCAGTGCAATCCGGGGGGAGCAAGATGAAGTGGAAGGGGATTGTTATCTCTGCTGTCCTGCAGGCACAGCTCCCAATTACAGGTAAGGCAGGCTTTTCATATGACAAGGAACTATTTTAAAACCCTTTTGAGGTGGGGACAGAACACAACGTTTCTGTCGGATCCCCGCCCTTCTGGTAGCAGGAGGGCATCTGCGTGTGAACCTCTAGCATGTCTGTCCTCCTAATTATGACTAGTTATGCACTAGTTCAGAACCGGCAGCTGCAGGACTTGCTGAAAATGAAGTCTTTGCTATAAAGAAATCCTTTGGAAGGTGGGGAGGGGCGAACGAGGCAGCAGCAGCAGCTACCTACCATTGATGAGGCCTGCCTTTGTTGTGTCAGAGTTAAAGATACGACAGCTGAATAACATCTTGTAATTAAATGGGGTTTTTAACCCTCCCCCCAACAGTTCTCTCTTTGGGATTTAAAAAATGAAAAGTTGATATGCTGAGTGCAACCACCTTCAATATGCTGCCCAAGAGATACCTTTAATTTAGCTGGATAGAGTTAGGGCTGCGTTGATCCTTAGTGGCACGTTCAGTGCTTGGTTTCCAATAAACGTCACACCCTAGCAGCTCAGAAGCTGCTGTTGAGGGATTAGAGGAAGGGTAAAAAGGCTATGATTCCCCCCATCTTTTTCTATACCTACACACTTGCTTTCAGGTAATTAAAATGAATAAAGTTTCCTTACCTTATGTGTTTATTTGGTTGGTGTTTATAAACGGACCCCACTCAGGCAGACAGTGGAGTGGGTTTAACATGCAAACATCCATGATTTAAGTTAATTTGGGGGAAGATGGACATACATTTTAATAATCCATAAAATCAAGGAAAATTAGATCCATTTAATTTGCATCTAGAGACTGGGCAGGAAAAGGCCTGAATTTGAGTAAGTCAGCAAAGATGAAAGACAGCGAGGCCACCTTCAAGTGTATGCAGAAAATCCATATGAAGAGTTTCATCCATGTTCTCTCTAGTCAATGTACGCAACCAATGCACCATAAACAGCACTTTTACATCAAGTGTTTTGGGGACCTCAATAAACTTTCAAATAAACAAGGTTTTTGATGATTAGGAAAATGACCCAAAGCATTCACTGATGCCGTGCGACATAATCATGTTCCAGTTAACCTGTGTACCATACATTTCAACAGGATTTTAAATTAGATTTGCATTATCCGCAATAAGTACTCACAGCTACATTTATGTTAATATATAGCGAGTACATGTCCATTTGGGATATTAATGTGTTTCTACATACATTGAGCTGTGTGTGCATCTGCACAAGTATAAGATGTGTACCAAAAGTAGGAAAAGCATTTCTTTCTGTCCTCTTAGAATATTTTCAAAATGCACAAAGGCCTAGGACATCTGAAGGAAAAGTAATTGTACTTATAGGCACGTAAAGGTTTAGAAACTACTTAAGGTCAGCATTTGTTTCTCTGATCCTTCTTCTTTCATTCTTTTATAAAAGATCAGTATCTAGCATGCTACAGGCTCTTGCTCTTATTTGTTCTTTTTTAGCAGAAAGGCCGTACTGAAAAAATAGAGCAATTTAATCAAATCTGCTAATTACTAAAGTATCAACTTTATTATGGTCTCTCTGTTCACACACCTTGGGGATAACCATGCTCACAGGAAGAGACTATTTAGCTACGACACACCCTGGACCAAATTTTGCCCTACGTACAATTCCCGTTGATTTAAATGGAGATGGTTGTGTATGTATCTGAGGGCAGAATTTTTGGCTGGGTATTTTCAATATTATAAAGACCTTTTTACATTTTGGAATGAATGTAGAGTAAGAGGATGATAGTGAGATTCCATGAAATTATTCAAATAGTAGATAGGTGCACTAACAATTATTAATTTAGTCTGAACTTATTGCCAGGCAGATGACTTTTTGGGGTCAAGACTAAGAACCCTGAATCCGGGACCTTCCATTATTTGGAGTAAATAGGAGCCCTCTTAAAACAAAGTATATTTTTATTTTTCACAGAACATGTTTGCTCTAAGCAAACCGTCACTAAGTGGAATTGCAGATGGCACTTTACAATGCATTCATACTATGGCGCTCAGGTTTTCAGTATACTTCGCAATAGGAATCTGCTTGTTTTGTAGTTAGTCCAGCAAAAGGTGCTGGCCCCAGGAATGGTAGCTGAAGAGCAACCATGCATTTTCCTTTTGCTCTCAACAGTGCTGAGCCAAATACATCAAGCACCAGAAACATATTTTTTAGAGTAATTCTAGCTATGGACCAAAGCCGCAAAATTCTGATGTAGCCATCGACCTCAGCCCATAAATTTGAGGATGTTCTGAGTTGAGGTTTGACCAATAAAGCAAGAGGAGCTGCTGGAGAAATTCAGATCCACGTTCGGATTTTGGAATGCTTCCCCTTTCCAAAGTTCAGCAGGAATGGATCTGGAGGTCTGGTTCAGGCCCTCCTATAAATATTTCACTAGAAGGAGTTTATGAAAGAAAATAAATATGTTCTGAGTCTCTGAGCAGAGTGATTTTGTTTATCACGCTGTTCTCTGCTGTTTCGGGAAATTCTGTTAAAAGACATTTCTTCTGTCTGTACTGCAAGAACCCCCCAAAACAAAACAAACAAACAAAAAACAGGAAAAACCAAAAACCCTGCAATATGCTGCAGTGATGGACACAAACCACTGCAGTTTCCAATAGCAATATGGCAGTGTTTGGGGCAATACTGCCATTTTTCCCTGTGAGGGTGATCAGTTTAATATGAGAGACATATAAAGACATGTGCAACAGGGTCCTAAAAGGGGGTTTCTCTCAAATTCTCAAAATCTCCTGTTGAATTGAACCTAGCACCGGATTATTTGGCTGTAGGGAAGCTAGAACATGTCCACCCTGGAGAGACATCACTCACACAGTTCAGTCAATCAGCATTTCGCTGCCCAATGCAACTGCTTCTTCTACCCATAGGGTAGCGTGCAACTCAGGAGCGATTTGCTAATCACCATATGGGTAACAGGAAGAAATGGGCAGCGTTGTGTTTTAAGGGTTCATTTGTTCGTTCATTCGTTCCTTCCTTAAAATAAGTTATTTAGAAGACCTACACTTTAAAAAACAGAAAAAAAAATCTTGTTTACAAATACATCCTGGATACTTCAACCAAATGTAAAGACAGAATATTTTTAGGTGCCACTCTCCATACCGTCTACACCGTCCTTGCTGAATTCTTGGCACTAATGCAAAAATCTACCAGGGACTTAATTTAATAATTATGCTTCTTTCTACTCACAATGATTCATTAATAAATACTCAGAAATGGGACATTTGTGCATCAGACAAAATGTAGGCAAATATAGCCCATCTTTATTACAGGCTGTTTATTAAGCTCCTACAGTGCTAAGTTCAGTTTCTTTAGCGATCATTATATGTTATATAGTAAGCACTCTCTACTAAAACAATACCATGTTAAATTCTTAATGAGTGAGGTAACAGGTTAATAATTCACTCCATCTGACTCCCCTATGCAAGAGGGAGTGTATTTAAAATGGAAGGAGCCATTTGAAAATATATTTATACATGTCCAGTACAAGTCTATTCTTGTTATACTATTGTACTATGTGGATAAATTGAAGAAATTGGGTAGTTTGCTAATAATGGATGCAGATTCATACAACATGTAGTTTAGATACCCGTTCTTTGTGGAATCAATGCACATTGTTAAATTATGATTTTGAAATATAAAATATCAAACAACAAAAAGTTTTAAATCTCAATCTCCCTCCCCCCCCCAAAAACCATTTAAATTCCAATTAACTCCATGTTTACACCAGTAAGAGTTTTAAAATCCTTACCACTATTTATAATACTTGGCTATAGATATAAAGACAACACCCCCGGCCACTATCTAGAACTTTAAAATGTGTCCGTGAAGAAACAGATGGGGACCTGTTAAATAACATATATGGTACATTTGCTCATTTAGGATGGCATGGGCAGAAGACAGCATTTTAAAAAAACCTGAGAAAATATCAGGCCTGCTAAAAGCATCTGCTCTGTCTGTGTGTGTGTATGCTGAAAAGATTTCAGTGTCATATGTATATAACTTGGATCAAAACCTACATTAAAATGTTGTTACTCCTTTTATTTTATTGCTAAGAAAATGTCTATACTTACTGAATCTTGGAGAAGTTGGGTTTTACAACCTTTTTTTTGATGTGTAATAATATGCTACCTGATATTTGGAGATTAGCTCTGACTGTAGATCTGTTGTTAACTAAATTCATTTCTCTTCCTTTAAAAAAGTATGTGCAAACTGTATCCTTTAGGAATGAGGTTTAGGATCAAACTTTTCAAAGAAGGGGGTAAAAGCTACGCTATGTGAAATCCCACATTGCCATACACAGGTGACTAGCATTCACATATACAAACCAGATACCTGTGCATGCATATGAGTAGTTGAGTTTGCAGTTCCTCAATTTGAACGTGCAAATTACTTGTTTGCCGAAAACTGTGAAGAAAATGGGTGCGTGAGTGCTTAGCTGTGTGGAACTGGTGTGTGAGCACTTGTGTGTGCGCAAGGGGTATATGGAAGTGTTTGTGGGTGCACCATTTGCTCCCTCCTTTGACAATTTAGCCATTAAAAACAGAGAAAAAAGACCATATCTAGCCACGCTCTTTCCCCAACCCTTAAACACGCACACCCGTCAGTGCGTGTACAAGTCTGTTCAAGGGCGTGGAAGCTGAATTTTAATTTTAAATAATATATGTTTCAAATATTAAAAAAAACAAAATTGCTAGAAACAAACTACTGCAATTTGAAAGCCCTCTCTGCTTTTTGTTTATGGTCATTCCTTCTAAGATTGGGATAGTCTACTGAATTGGAAATGACCACAGTCAACTTGGAGAGAAAAAGAATCCTAAACCAAAGGAAGAAAGACAAAATGAAAAAGCTGGGACACGGCCACTTTCTGCACCACTGTTATTATGCTGCAACATGGCTGAAAGCAGGTTCCTGAGCCAATTCAGATATTATTGTGTACAACATACAGCCTATGTGTTATTT